TTTCTACCTGATGATGACAAAACCTTGTCGAAACGTTGTACGTTTGATGTTATGTTAAACTTATATTAAAGTTTTTCTTCATTACCCATTCAAGCCGTCTCCAGCCATTATTAGTCTCAAAGTGGGTTCCTCGTCATCGAATTTGAAAACCTAACTAAGTTTAGAAGGCTGTGATTCAGCACCTTCTCTGTTGTCAATATTTTTTTGCCGTAATCTAACAAAATATTTTTTTGAGATTAGCTACCTTAGAAGATATACTTTAGTCCTAAATCCATATACTTAACTAACAGTGAAAAATAATCCTCTTAATGATTGATATATCTCAGAACTACAAGAAAATAATAAATATATTTGTATAACATTTTAACTAATACTGTTAACGATACTGCCATTTGTATAACATTTTAACTAATACTGTTAACGATACTGTCATTAATTAAAAAGGTAAGAGTTACGAGGCAAAAACTAGTCTATCACTTTCGATGAAGAGGAACCCACTTTGAGACTAATAATGCATGGAGACGGCTTGAATGGGTAATGAAGAAAAACTAGCCATTAAACACAAAATTCCTGTGGATTTGAGCACGTGTGCCCTTTTCATAGATCGGTTTACTTCTTTTACGTGCTGGTTTTTGCTTGTGGATTTCTTGATGTCTTTTTTTAAACTACAGACTTAGTTTTCCTTTACTATTTATTTAAATTTTTGCATTTTGGAAATGTGAAAGGTTGCTTTTTCCAACTTTTCTTTATTGACAGGAACCTTTTTGGCTTGTGTATTGTGGATCCCACTCTGTGTAAAGTGGTGCCTGATCAGCTATAAATTTTCTATTTTTTTTTAAAATCAGCACTGTCCATCCTGTGACCATGCTCGATGTCAATTAAGTTGTAGCCCTTCCTATTGCAGACCTGATGTACAATTCCAGATGCCACCAGATGTTGGTTGTGTGTGTGTCTGTTCTATTGTCATCTATGTCTAAACAATTATGTTTCAGGATTAGGTTATGCACACCGTAGGACTGTTAGTAATTCTCTCTAGTGGTCTTTTGCTTCTTAAATATGTTTGTCCCGAACTATACACTCAGAGATTACTGCCCATCTCTGATGCTCTACAGCATTAAGACTTACTATCACAGAACTGATGTACAATTCCAGGTGCCACCAGGTTTTGGTTGATCGGCTCCATCTATGTGGTAGCTTTGCTTTTTAAAATAGGGTATTGCATTGCACTGTCTCCGGTGGTGCGGTCCTCCGGACTCACCAACATGTTCTTTTCCCTCCTTTCTTCTAGTGGAGTATGGGAGTCCTTACCAGTTCCTAGTCAATGAGGTGAGGAACCATAGAGGCTTCTCCTCCTGCGGGATGAATCATACCACTCAGTTGAAAGTATGGTGATGGCATTTTACAGGTGTTGATGGTGTATAACACCTCCTACCATGCACCTGACGTACAATCTCAGAAACTGCCAGGTTTTGGTTGTAGCACTATGCCATATTACTCTCTATATACCTGACTCAACACCAAGGGGTCCCTTTAATCAGTCATACATATTTTGGGATTTCTTCATATTTTTCAACCTTTTATGTTCATGACATAGTAATGAAAGAATGAACAGTATACCTGGATCAGATGTGGTGCAGTTTCTCACTGAGGTGTGATGTTTTCTTTATTGGTTCCACACATCCTGGGGCACTCTTTGGGCACTTCCTAAAGAGAGAGCTCATTTTTTCACCGACCCTCCCCAGTTCAGTGTGAGATTCTAGTTAATTTGTGAGAAGAGATAAGATATCATATAGGAAGTTAAAATTTTCCTCCACTGAAAATGTATTTCCAATAGATACTTACCTCCTTCCACGTTTCCCACCCAGCCTCTCCACTTCCAGTGATATGTGGTGTAGGCATTCTGACCAATCTCGAGGTGATTAACGAGTGCAAATGTAAAGAGGGTGCTGGTTATGATAGGAGTTGTGTCGTTCTCCTATTGGTGGAGAGCTGCTGCATGATCATTTGCATGTGGATATTCAGAAGCAGGAGGTGGAAGGCTAGTGGCAAGCCTTGAAAATTTGCACTGATAGAGGGCAGTACTAATCAAGAAAAGCTATTTTGTGAGGATAAGTATCTATCGGAAATACAATTTCATTGTAGGAAAACGCTAACTTCTGATGTCTTCCAAAGTTCAGACTTTTCTCAGCAGAACCCATTCACTACCGTCATGTTAACTGTAGGCCCTCTGATGGTCAGTTATGTTAATGCCATTGAATACACTAGGAATTTGGTTCCCTTGTGTTATCCAGTTCAGGATTCTTGGTCTCCTGCTTCTGTTACTTCAGTTGAGTCTTCTTCATCTTTAGATGACTTTTATTGATTGTTTCCTTTTTACTTTTGCTTCTGGTTTCCTCTTTCTGACTAGGATCAGATAATCCAACCTTATCCTTCACTGATTACACAGCTATATATCTTTTTCTTTTCTCTTTTGACTGATTTTAGGCTACTTCATTACAGCTTAGTTACTTGAGTCTTTTATTTCAACTTCATGCTCTCCTCGTTTTTTATACATCTCTTTTCTGTCTCCATCTAATTGTCTTCTTTTATTTACTTGATTTATTTGCTTCATCTATTTTCTGAGGCCTTATTTCACAACCCTGTCAGTTTCACTGGGGAGATTTGCACATATCTGTTTTCCATCTAGACATTGTTTTTCTTCCTCTATTGTGTCCAAGTTGACTTTAGATTTTTTTTTAATGTCCTTCATTGGAATGCTTCAATTTTTCACTTTTGCCTACTACAAACTTTTCTTAAAAACCTCTGTGTTGCATCATTTTATTCGTATCAGGTTTTTGGGTGATGTATCTTATAATTTGGAATTTGGGGCTGATTATCGGCATCCATCTCTGCTGGTTTTTCTTTCTTACTGTTTTTTTTTTTTTGACAAGGCAGCCCTACCAAGTTTCTTGTTCTTCCCTATAGTGTCACGTGGTCACTCCTCCTCCTGTATCTAGTTTTCTTCCCTATCTAATGTTCCCATCTCTGAAGGCTGGCTGTCACCTGTGTAGGAGGTAACTTGTTTCTGCAATTTCCCCTCTCTGATCCATTTGTAGTTTGGCTCTTCCACTTTGTACAGTGGGACAGAGGTAAGTCTTCGGATTTACAGTGTGGACACAGCAGATAGCCCACTGTGGCTTTGCTCTAAGAAAACACAAATTAACAATCCACTTTGTCCACCAGTGAACTCCCTTTGTTGCAGACTACTAGGTTACACAGGTGCTTTCTCAGGGTTTTTCCTTTTTTCTCCACCTCACCTGATTAGAACACCATGCACCAATTCCTCAACCCAACTATGCAGTTTTATTTCCATCTTTTTATCTTTCCCACAAAGACAGGAGGTTGACATCCTGTCATAGAACTGTCCTACTTGAACAAATTTTGATTTATCCTCAGTCCAAGATGGATGATTTTCACTCTGAGGATGTGGATGACATGATATGACGTCTGAGATGCTTTCCTCACATCCTGTCTGCTTTTGATTCTTCCACAATAGTCAAACATTCAATTCATGGCCCTTACCTTTGAGTTAGCTATGGCCACATCTGTTTTCCATTTTGACCATTGAGCATTTATCTTTGGTTGATAGGTTGCATTCTTTGAGCCTAATGTTTCACACTGCTCTGAATTTTTTCCACATCCAATGTGGCATCCACTGCTGTGCCCTCTCATCTCCTTCAAAAGTCATCTCATTGGGGGTAGCTGGCTAGGCTCTAGTGCAATGGGCTGAAATTGTTCTAGAATTGGCTTTGGTAGCTGTACACAAAATAAAAGCTTTGGGCACATTTTACAAAAAAATAGCATAAAAATGTTTTCTGAATCTTTAAATATATATATGGTTATGCATCTTTAAACAACAACTTCCAAATGAGAAACACAGGTAATTTGTTTTTTAAACACACAATTTGTACATGTGAAATACAGTGTAGCCCTGTTATAACACGATTGAGGTCCATAAAATGTCATCTCGAAACAAGCGGGGTCATGCTAAATCGGGGTTCAAAAAATTCACTGTTCAAACTGACCCAATGTTGACCTAACATCCTAAAACACCTCCATTTTTGCCCTCTTTGACTAGTTTTTTTACACGTCCCTTTTCTAGCAAGTCAATTACCTCTGAATTAAAGAATTTTGCGAATGAATCGTTGTTGTTACAGTAGAAATTAAAACACAAATTATTTTTAATAGGTTTTTTAATAAACAAAACAACAAATAAAAACATTCAAGAATATTAGCAATCATCATTTGCAGTTTATTTCTTAAAAAAACTCGAGTGTTCCTTGCTTGAACGTGGCATGTCTTTGGCTGTGAGCGAGATCTAGAATGCCTCTGAGTTGGAGGATTTTTATGTGGTCCACCTCCTAAGTTTCTAGCCAACGGAGGCTAGCCTTGAGGTGTTCAATGGCTTCAGACACTTTTGATGGTGGTGGTGATTGAAGCTTTTCATTATCTTCTTCTTGTGCCACGAGAACCAGTACACTTGCCTCTGTCGGTGCTATAGTTACATTACGGACGATTTTGTAAAGATAGACTTAAAATATTAAAAGTTATTAGTATGTAAACTATAACAAGATTTTGGTTACGAGGTCAGTCCCAGGGACCAAGCCCATGTTGAAAAAGTTAATGACCCATCTGGTTAAATCCGAAATCTCGTTAAATCGGAGTGCATCAAATCAGGATTTCACTGTAGCTTGTCTTTTATCGCAATCTAACTATAAATGTAACTTTACAAACATAAACAAGAATTTGATCAAACTCGGATAGTATTGCTTATTCAAAATTGTAATTGGAATGGCTGTATAACCTCTTTAGTTGTCTGTTCAGGGCATAGCTTCAGATCAGTGTACATGCATAATTCTGAAGATGGAAGAATATAGCAAATCCTTTTATATTATCAAATATGACAAAACATTATGCTAGATTATTGATGTATTAAATTTTATCTAATGAAACATGAATATTTAGTTCTTCATAATTCTTTAAGTCATTAGAAATGAAACTTTTTTTCTCATTATTCACAATACAAAACATCCAGAGAATGGATGGACCGGTTAAATTATTTATAGACAACAAAGTTAAAGACGTCCATATACTATATGAATTAATAGTTCTTACTTGAATATGTACCTGATGTGTAGGAAAAGTAAATTCAAAATTCTCTTTTTTTTGTTTTCAGCACTTGCATATTTGTGGTTATTTTTGCGAACTTAGTTAGCGAGACATTGTCACCCAGCTTTGTGATAAGTAGCAGTGGATTATTGGTTGTGATATTTTACCTTTTCTTTTCCACATTTCTTGACAAGACATGCTACAATCTCCTTTCAAAAGGTAATCTTTAAACTTTTGTTTCTATAATAAGTCATGAAGTAAAACACACTGTCAACCAACCGTATTTCGTATAACCAATAACAGGATACAATCTCCTTTCAAAAGGTAATCTTTAAACTTTTGTTTCTATAATAAGTCATGAGGTAAAGCACACTGTCAACCAACCATATTTCGTATAACCAATAACAGGCTACAATCTCCTTTCAAAAGGTAATCTTTAAACTTTTGTTTCTATAATAAGTCATGAGGTAAAACGCACTGTCAACCAACCGTATTTCGTATAACCAAGAAAGGTCACGAACTAAATTAGCCTATTTTATACATTTAATATGAATAAATTACATATATTATGTCCATAACTAAACCACTCCCAAGTTTCTAACTCTAAGGGAATAGTCAGTTTACTTACGTCTAGCCCTAGGTTTTCGAAACTTATACATATTACTTGTTATTCTTAAACAGAATAAGTTTTTCTTTATACCTAATATTCCCTAAGTTAAGCCTCACTCTGGGATCCCTCCTCTGGCTCCAGGTTGTCAGTTTCCTTCCTATTCTAAGGAGACTAAAACTAAACTAATTTTTTTAAATCAGGCCCCACCAAATTATATGTACAAAGATACAAAAATTTCCTTCATTTTCAACTTCAGAATTTCCATAAATATCTTAGTTCTTTCTAACTACATCAAAACAATTTGTATGTTTTTTTCAAGTTTACTTTTTTCAGTTATTTAACTAAACATACCTAATTATTAAATGTTGGTGTTTTTTGGACTAGAAGTATGATTGGATTACCAAAAAAAAAAGCTTCTTGCCCTAAACACTAATAAATTATTTGAAATTACAGAATTTAAGTAGGAAAAGTACATTATTAATTTCTTGATGTTGTGAAGTTTGATTATCTTCAAATTAAGTCACTGAAGCTTATAAACAATATTTAATATTTGTATACCTCTATATCGTTCATAATATTGACGTACTTGGGATGTTGTAACTTAGGATATTTTATTTTATTAATAATTTAATAAGTTATTGGTTGTTATGAAACATAACACCTTATAGTTCTATATTTTGTATGATATATAACACTAAGACTAATAATAGAATGTTAACTAATGTTTCTTTACTGGCCTTTTACTTGTTTTGAGTAAGGAGAAGATAAATACATTTAACCACAGCCGAAAAAGTTTTTTACTGAATACCAAAAATTATAAAGTCAGCTAGGCATCCAACACGTGAAATATCGGGCACACTGTTTATGTAGGTTGTGTATGCTAAGCCAACCCTCAGAGCTGTGGTATGGAGTGAATGGCCACCTTGACAGCAGTGTACAGCACACAGTGTATTTGGTTGAGATCAACCACAAGTTAATATTTTTTTTTTAAAGTTTTCACTGTGATATGTATATGTTGGTAAAATTAATCATTAACTTTTTCCTAGCTGGTAATCCACTGTTATAGGTAAAAAACAAAAAAAATGAAATTTCTCTATTACCCAAATAACATTTGAAATTGTTTAAAATTTTAAAGAAAAATGCAAGTTTGTTATAATGTGAAATTGAATGATTTGGAAGGTCAATTTAGAAAAAAATATTAAAGTCAAATCTTCTAAAGTAGGTTCATTTGACTTTAAAAACGATATCATAAGTTTCTAGACTTTTTTTTTACTGATGCCAAAAGCTCAAGTCCAATATTTAAGGCTCATTATATTATAGAATGGAGCTTGTTTGATTAGGCTTAGGATTTATAATTTTATCACTGTTGGTTCGACCAAATCAAAGAAAAGTTATTCTGAACATTATTTAATTAGGCTTAGCATTGATAATTTTATCACTGTTGGTTCAACCAATCAAAGAAAAGTTATTCTGAACATTATTTAATTAGGCTTAGCATTGATAATTGTATCACTGTTGGTTCAACCAATCAAAGAAAAGTTATTCTGAACATTATTTAATTAGGCTTAGCATTGATAATTTTATCACTGTTGGTTCAACCAATCAAAGAAAAGTTATTCTGAA